CTCTCTCTCTCTCTCTCTCTCTCTCTCTCTCTCTCTCTCTCTCTCTCTCTCTCTCTCTTTGTCTAATTTCAAACATATTTAATAACTCATTAAATTGATATGTTGTAACTTACGTCTTTGCTTAATATGAAAAAACACGTGCAAAGAGAATAAAGGCATACATATAAAAGATGAAAAACGTGCATCCAAATTCACACCTGAACATTATCTCCATTTATTATAAGAGAATGTGTTTGCGAGATCGCACATCGATATGGCAATTAGCCAAAAATGTGTTTAACCCAATTTTAATGCATTTCTACATCATACATACAAATCTTGGAAAATGGAACGCATCTCTTTTGTCTGTGTCTCAATTGCCATTCAAAACAAAAAAAAAACATTACGTCAGACATGGCAGCGATGGCGGATCAATCACCACAATTTATTTGTATGTGCAATTAATCATCGCGGTCACAGGGTGAAGAATGTGATGTGTCGAGTATCGCGCAAGTCTATTATTCCCTGTTGCTGACTCAATGTTACGTCAAGCGTTTTTCATTTTTAGTTATGATTGTTTCAATCACGCAGCATTCAAATTGGTTGCACACCACTGTATTTAGCAACAACACTGACAAATGACAAATTCGCTATGTATGATTGCACACAGAGGTTTTTAATTTAAAATTAAATCAAGTGTACAAGAAACGACACAAATTTGGTAATTTTCATAAAAAGGTAAAAGTACTGGTAATGAAAAACTTTCGTATAATGCACATTTAAACAACAAATTATCCCTCTCTGCAAGCAGCTCGACCAATTTTATAGATAGTGTCATTTTTTTTCTCAAAAATAATTTCGGCATCAATTTTATGATGATGTGATATTCGCAAATCGATTCATAGAAATCGACAGTTTCAAGTAAAAGTTTCTTTTGAATGTTGTGAGTGATTTCTTAAGTCAAATTTGAATTCATCTCACTTTTTTGCATTTTTTTGAAATCTGATGGAAATGAGAAAATAAAATCCAAACGGAAATATGTAAATGTTCACTTTAGAAATATAAACAGTTGAATAAATTTGGTATCATTAACATTTGATTTTATGTCGCTTTGGTGATTTTATTTTCACAAATTCAACCTATCGGCAGAGGCGAAAAGAAATGATAAATGTATATATTTATATTCAACTTGGTTTTATTTCATTTTAAAAGTCAACAAATGATTTAACATTTATAAAATGTACAACATTTTATTTTAAATTAAAATTGTCTCAAACAATCGATTAGTTCATTAAGTGCAATGAGTTTTTTTTTGTTCTCGTTTACCATCCTTGTGAGTCTGGATCGGATTTGATGAATTTGATGAATTTAATAGTTTGTGATGGGCCACCATGTGATTGATGGCTGCTATGTGAGGAATGACCGGCATCGTATGATGGTCCATTATCTTTTATCAATTTGATTACTCTGACTGGAGCTGACGATGCATGCGATGCAGCGCCGTATGATTGGTGATCACTGTGCGATGAACCAACGAACGATGAACCAGAGTGTGAGGATGTGTCTTTAATGACTTTAATTACTTTGACTGGTGCTGATACAGTTACATGTGAATGTTCACTATTGTGGGATGTGCTACTGTGTGAATATCCGCCGCTGTATGATGAGCCACTGCTGTATGATGGACCGTTATTGATCACTTTAATGATTTTAACTTGGCCGTGTGATGGTGCAAAAGATGCTTGTGATTGTTGGGCTTCTTGAATGATTTTGATGATTTTTGTTGTTGAAACTGGAGCCGATGACACAGACTGGCTTGAACCATAGATTGGCTTTGGAGCGCTGAATACTTGAGCGCTTTGTTGTGGTGGCAAGTACTGAGCCTATTTTGATGATCAACATTTTTAAAAATTTGTTTGATTGAGTACTTTGGCGACTAAAAAATGATTTACCTGTGGAGCCGCCGGTGCTGAAACAGAAAGTGCTTGACTCAATTGAGGACTGTAGCTTGGTGCACTTTGTTGGGGTGGCAAATATCGTGGCTAAAGTTAATGAATAAAGATATAATTGATATTTGCGGTTTGATTCAACGATTCGATATTTTAAAATAGTTTAAATCATCTTACTTGTGGCTCTGGAACAGAGTATGTTGAAGTTGTTTGCTGTGGTGGCAAGTATTGGGCCTAGTTTGACGATCAAAGTTTTATTTAAGTTTAATCATTTTCTGAGCAATGCTCACTGAGCATATTATTTTAATCAAATTATGGTACATACTTGTGGAACATGTTCAATTGGTTGACTGAAACTTGGTGCACTTTGTTGCGGTGGAAGATATTGAGCCTATTTTAACAAACAAAACCATTTTTTTAAAACATTTACGAAATACTTGTTAAATTGATAAAATAAAGACTTACTTGTGGAGCTGGGGGACTGTAAACGTCCTCTTGGACGGAGTGCGATTGTGATGGAGCTGAGAAGTTTGGAGCTGTTTTTGTAAAGCAATAAATTAGAAAAAAATGTCTCAATATTGATGAATGCTGATAAATATTTATGAATGGAGAACGTTAATTTACCTGGATCTGCTGATGGAAGTGAGAATGATAGTGAAGGAGCTGAGTATGTTTGAGCTGATTGCTGTGGTGGCAAGTATTGTGCCTAATTTGATGAAAAAAGTATTTTTTTAACGTTCGATTGAGAAATTGGACTTCTTTTTAAATGATGGCTTACTTGTGGTGCCGGTGCCGCTTCACTCAAGTGAACAGTGAAACTTGGTGCACTTTGTTGTGGTGGAAGATACTGAGCCTATTTTGACAAAGGAAAAACAATTTATGATTGATTCATACATAATTGATAGAACACATTTACAAAGCTCTTATTGATTAAATAAAAACTTACTTGTGGGGCTGGAGCACTGTACACGGGCTCTTGAGCAGAGTAGGTTTGTGCCGATTGCTGTGGTGGCAAGTATTGTGCCTGTTTTAACGAAAAAAGTATTTTTTTAATGTTCGATAGGTTCGTGTAGGTATAGAAAATACCACAACATTTTGTGAAGTGCACAAACATTTATCGATTTCTCATTGTACTTGTTAAAATGATCAAATAAAAACTCACTTGAGGAGCCGGGGCACTGTAAACGGGCTCTTGAACAGAGTAGGTTTGAGCAGATTGTTGTGGTGGCAAGTATTGTGCCTAATTTGACCAAAAAAGTTTTTTTAGTTTTGATTGAAAAAAAGAGTTGCTGTTTTAAAGATTTCTTTATAAATGATGCAATTATGGCTTACTTGTGGTGCCGGTGCAGGTTCACTCAATTGGGCACTGAAACTTGGTGCACTTTGTTGAGGCGGTAAATATTCAGGCTATTGTGATGAACAAAGAAATGTTTGATAATGAATGCTTGAAAATTTCTATTGTGAATCTCTTTCATATTTTAATATGGATTTTATATAATGTCCGAAACTTTTGTATATTCTACAAAATATTCATGTCAATATAATGACGTTTTCGTAAATATAGCAAATTCTGTAACATCTCGTGAAATGCACAAACACTTGTAATATACGACTAAGAATTTGTAGAATAAGCAAAAAACCAAACTCAATTTCTCAGTGTGCTTGTAAAATTGATTGAGTAACGACTTACTTGTGGGGCTGGAGCACTGTAAACTGGCTCCTGAACAAAATAATTTGGGGTGGCTTGTTGTGATGGCAAGTATTGAGCCTAATTAGACGAACAAAGTATTTTTTAAAAATGTTCGATAGAAAAATCTGGCGATTTATTTGATTCAAAAAAAAAATTAAAAAATGATCAAAAAACGGCTTACTTGTGGAGCTTGTGCTGATGTTGATGCTGACGCAGATCCTGATGCTTGTGCATTGTAAGTTACAACTTGAATTGAAGCTTGAGAAGGGCCAACGGCAGAATTTGATTCGTCACTAACTGGAGCACTGAAGCCATGACTGAAGCTTGGTGCATTTTGTTGCGGTGGAAGATATTGCGACTATTTCGACAAAAAAAAAAAACAATTTTTGATTGATTCACATATTATGTATACATAATTGATAGAACACATTTACAAAGTTCTTATTAAATTGATTAAATTAAAACTTACTGGTGGGGCTGGAGCACTGTAAACGGGCTCTTGAGCAGAGTAGGTTTGAGCTGATTGCTGTGGCGGCAAGTATTCTTCCTGTTTTGACGAAAAAAGTATTTTTTAAATGTTCGACAAAAAAATGTGCCGACTGATTTGATGTTTTTTAAATGATCAAATAACGGCTTACTTGTGGAGCTTGTGCTGATGTTGATGCTGACGCTGATCCTGATGCTTGTGCATTGTAAGTTACAACTTGAATTGAAGCTTGAGAAGGACCAACGGCTGAAACTGATTCATCACTAACTGGAGCACTGAAGCTTTGTGCACTTTGTTGTGGTGGAAGATATTGCGACTATTGTGTTGAACAAAGTAATTTTCACATTGATATATATCATAGATTGAACGGTTTCATAATGTTCTTGTTAAATTATTTTAATAACAACATACTTGTGGAGGAGCATTGTAAACGGGCTCTTGAACAGAGTGGGTTTGAGCTGAGTGTTGTGGTGGCAAGTACTGAGGAGATTTTTTTTAATTTAATCAGTACAAAAGCAGATAATAAATCAAAATGTGTGATTAAATACATACTTGTGGACCATGTGTTAATGATGATGATGGTCTATTGAAAGAAATAACTTGGATTGTAGCTTGAGTGGGGGGAGCATGGGCTACAGGGGGAGCAAAATGTGCAACGGGAGCAGCATGTTGAACGGGTGCAACTTGTTGAACGGGTGCAACTTGTTGAACGGGTGTAAAGTGTTGAACGGGGGCAGCATGTTGAACGGGTGCAAAGTGTTGAACGGGGGCAGCATGTTGAACCGGTGCAGCGTGTTGAACGGGTGCAACGGGAGCAAATTGAACATTGGCTCTAGTAGTTTCCTCACTAATTGGAACAGTTTCACCATCCAATAAAATATGTTGTTTCGGTGGTGCTGTTTTGAAGAAACGAATATTCCATTTTTTTGTAAACAATCACACGTATTTTCAAAACTTCAAAATTCATTTTCAATATTAAAAAGCCACAAAATAGTTTTTTTTTGCACTTGTTAATTAAAACCGCACAATCTTTCAATCACACAAACGAATCAATACGGTATACCTGAGCTCACAGATGCTGCATGAAAATCTGGTGATGATGGACGAAATGGTTCATTATTGTGTATTTCATGCACTGGGGGTAATAAATGAGATGATGGTAGAATAGTGGCCGAAGTACATGCCAAAACTGACAAAATAACAACGAAACTCTGTAGAACAAACAATAGGCAAAATTCACTTCGATTAATATATGATATGCACTTTCTTTGGTGTCCAAACGCAACAAATTAAATCCACAAAAATATTTCGTTCAAATTAAAATCCAAATCGTTTCATTTTTACCTTCATTTTTGGGTGCTCTTCGGATGGCACTTCTTAAAAAACTGATGGCCACAGCGAAAATGCTACCATGTTTTATAGTGATCGTCTTTTTTAAATAAAAAACCACATTAATTTTTTTACATAATTTTTATTACAATTAATTCAAGCTTATAACGTAACCAAAGCATTTTATCTATGCCACCACAAAACCGTGTGGATATCAAAAAATATGCATTCAATTCAGATGAAGAAAGAGTGTGAGAGAAAATGACGAGCGAATGACATTTTCTGATTTACTAATCAACCCAAAAAATGTTGAATTTTGATCCATTTCACGTTGACACAACCAACCGTGTGATGAAATGCGAAATTGTTCAAACACAGATGCGTGGTCATTAGGCATGATACATTTGATGAGTATTCAAATGCTGCAAAATTTGCATATCCTTTCATCCGACCAAACCGGTGCACGATTATCATTAGTTGATATTGTGAAATTTAATTTTTTAATTTTTTATTGTGAAAATTTGCTGGTTTCAAAAATGAAATTCGAATTTCGAAGGAGAATAAAAAATTAACGATTGAATAAAATAAGCATGAGATATTGATAGCAAAACAATGTTTGTTTTTATATATATTAAAATGTCCGCAGGTTTCTGCTCTGGCACACCATTCATTTATATTCAATTTTAAAATTAATTCATCAAAAAATTGCCCATTCCTACTTAAAAATTGATAGTTTTATCAATTAACTTTTGCTTTCTTTCTCTCTTTTGCAGGTGGATGCGATAAATCGTACGGCATCATTGCCTTTTTATCTTTTCGTGATCGCCAATCGATATGAGCGATTGCTGTTGGCATTTTATCGGCAAATCAAATAAACAGGAAAAAGTGAAAAATTAAAAAAAAAAATTACATACACACACGGAATCGGAATATATTAGACGCTAGCACATACTTTGAATTGAATCAACATGAACGGAGTAACCGCAATGGATGAGAATGGCGAGGGCGTCAAAAGTCCCATCAAACGTCTTGGATCCACTCGTAAATTGATGCTGTTCAACAGTGAGTATCCATTCTGTATATTTTGTTCCGCTGTTGGAAGTATATTATAGCCAATCATAAAACAAATTGTGGTCATAAAACAATTGATATTTTTCGGAAAATCGTTTTGGAAGTTCTTTTGGCTATACGAAGAAGAAATGAATAAGAAAAAAACATAATTTCATAACAAAACACAAACTTTTGACTTAAGAAGTCTTTCAATGACATTTTAATATACACGAAAAAGAAACTGTGTGACTAATTCCATTTTATGATATGTACAATTGCGACATGCATGTATTCAATGGATGCAATGTCATAAAATTGAAAGAAACCAAATAAAAACAACACACACACAAAAACCGACAAATTATTATTATGAGGTTAATGTGACCAAATGTTTTTGTGTTGAGAGAGACACATACACAAAACCGAAAGCAAAAGAAACAAAAAAAAACACTCGAAAGAGGAGCTCGGGCGTGAGAGTTCATCTCTCTCGATATACAACAAAAGCCGGAATTGAATAATTTACGCATATAATATACGTTTTATTAAGTGGACGAACCGAAAAGTGACTGCACTATTAAGATGGATTGTTTATTAACGAAATGATTTTTTTAATGTGAATTCACACGATGCGTACTCAAGCGCAAACAGCGTGTGCGTAGTGCTGCAAAGGGAACTAGAGAGCGAGCAAAAATGGAAAAGGAAGAGAGAGAGAGAGAGATAAAGATCGAGAATTATGAAGACTCAACGATCGTAATACGCGATCAACTTTCAAATTGCATACACGAACGAAACAATTATCTTATTAAAAGCTGTTTATTGTGTGTGTGAGAGAGTGAAAGAGACGAGATTACACGTAAACTGGATTAAATTATTATTATTTATCTGAATGGAGAGAGGAAAAAGAGGAGTGAGAACATACAAACTACCTTTCAAAACCAAAATGAGAAGAAGCCCACCGTTTGCAATTCAAACCGAAAGAATTGAATTGATCGAAGAAAAGTTTGCAATCGATTCATTTTTTAATCCACTTTTCTCTGCGAGTTACCAAGAAATCCTCTTTTCGACGCATCATATTTTCGTTTCACCAAGCATGCAGATGCTAACTTAAAAGACATCGATATGAAAAAAAGATAATATTTTTCTTAAACGCAAAGGAAGTAAAATAAGAAGATCGAAAAAAAAAATTGCAGCAAAAGAAACATTTCAGTTAAATTTCCTTTTGAGAAACAGCTCGGCATCTGGTTGACACATTTTATATGTCAGACATCCAAGGCGACAGTCATACACTCTTTGTTCGCCCTCTGTCGCTCTCGCACTTTCGGTTCCCAAGTGTATCACACTTATCAATTTTATTATGATACACTTTTTTGGCACTTTCAATGGAATTATCACAAACAAATTTTAATTTATTCCACTTAGAGATTTGTATACTTTGAGACATATGCTTCGCTCGAAATGAATTTCGAATAAAACATATGCATTCATGTTTTCTTTTTTCGTATATCCCGCATTTGATTTGTGGCTTTGTGAATGAAGAGTGTCTGACACGCAATCAACGTTAAGCTTGTTCGTGTATATTTATTTTTATATTTCGACTTCCTTTAAATTGTTCCTTTTAAATCGAAGTATTTTCATTTCTGCAAAGCGAAAAATTTGCATTATTCGAAGCGTACACCAAGTGAAAGACCATCGAAGCCGTACTACGTTGAAGTTGTTGGCTGATGCATATAGCATATTTATGGGCGCAAAATAAGCGCACTTGCTACCGATGCTAGCATCTTCATGTCTACAGCATATTTTCCAATGTCTCTCATCTGTTCGCTTTATCTCGATTTGTCTTTCAATCTCTTGTATTCTTTCTTTGTCTATTTCTCGATCTCTCCCACTCTTGCATGCACTCACTATTTTCAACTTGTTGTTGTTATTGTTGCTGCTGGCTTCACTGAGCATCGATATCATGCTTGGATTTGAACTTTCGCGTCATACATAACCGTAAATCAATCCGCACCACATTCATTGAGATTAAGTTTATGGATTTTTCTATTCGCCTGTCTGTTTGTTTGTTCCATAAAAAAAATCGGAGTTAAGACACATTCGAATGAACGAATCAATCTTTTTGAGAGAGAGAAAAAAAAGAAATTGAAAAAGTGAACGAGAAAAAGAGAGAAAACAAACGAATGAGTTGAAGAAAAGAGATGAGCCATGTTTCTATGCGTGCAACAGGCAACTATCGAATAGGCTTTACATGCCATTATCTCTCATTGAAATGACACTAACTGTTGCCTCTTATTACATCGAATCAATTGCCAAATGTGCCCTTTCTGATTTTTCAATCGTTTTCCTCATTTCGGGGCCACATATGGTATTTGGCTCTTTTGGTTTATTTGTTTTGTCTCTGTGTTATGAAAACGATGTTGAAAAAACAATCTTTGTGAAATCATTGTGCGACAAATGACGATTCTCTGTGTTTAATCTTTTCGTATTCAAATAATGGTGTTTGCACATCAAAGCGGTTAAAACCGCGCAAGCACATTGCCCTACAACGCAATTTCATACATTATCCCATATATTATTGTTATTCGTTTCGATAAGCATTTCGATGCTCAAATGATGGCAAGCGCGCACGCTTGTGCTCACGCATCACCGATTTTTATTCATTCACATTATTCAACGCAACGCATTTTCAATCAACCGCATTTTACCATATTAGCCTATTGCATGCGCAACAGAATTAGCCGCTCATTCATACCAAATGTGTGATGTGTTATTGAACTAAAACGGTCTAATGTAAGCGTCTATTATCTTGACCATTAAATAATAAATGCGCGAATAGCTATAGCTTTTTTCTCTCTCTGTTATTTTGAAATATATTTTTTATTATTGTTTTGCCTCTTTTGTCTGTTCACTGTGCACAAGTTGGTGTTGCTTATTCATTCTTTCTTTGTCAATTGTCATTGATTCGATGTCGTGCACAGCCAAAAATAACAGCAATCAAAATTGAAGAAAAGCAACGATTTTATCAAATGATCATTTAATAAATTGTAGAAAATTGTCATAATAAATTGTGATTTTTCAAATGCGATCTAAATTTATTTGAATTTAATACGTTTGATGTCAAGCATTTTAAGAGTTCATATTTCCAACTTGTGAACGAAAATAACCTTCACAATTTATTAGGCTTAATCAAATGGGACTGTCTTCTCAGTCTTTGTGTTTGAGGAAAAAAAGAGACTTTTGACTGATTTTCTGACTGGCGAAAGGGTTCTTTTTTCGTTTTCTCTAAATGGAGTGGATTTTTCTTCCAACATTTCTGTTCATCAAAATAGTGTGAAATGCCATTTTGTACATCATTAAACGAAAAATAGACTGGATTTCGGTGTGTGTTTTTAATAGATTTTTTTACTATTTTGAGAAAATAACGAAACGTGACTATTTATTCCTTCATTTTATTTACTCGCATCAAGAATAAAACCGCCGACAAATGTTTTCAAATAAAAAAAAAACGTGAAATGGCCATTAAATCCAATGTCGAAATGCGTGTGTCTTTTAAAGTCAGAAATTAGAATTAGATCACACAAACAATAAATAAAAGCGACAAAATTCGAACAATTTTACACGAAAATCGTGTCTTTCTTGCAGCAAGTATAGCACTCAATAACTTATCGGATGGTTTGCAAAATTTATGTTTTAACCAAACAAAAACATTGACACAGAAGCATGCAAATAATTTGTAAATTCATTTTTGTACGGTCTGATAAACGCAATAATAAGACTCGACATAAACACACAATTTAATTTCTGCTGATAAGATAAAAATTACCTATTCTTTTATTTTTCGGTAAATCAAATGATAATCTTATCCAACGGCGTGGAATTGATAGAGACAAATTTGTATGTGGTTGCACAAACGATGAATTAATCGAAGAGGTGCTGAAAAGAGGCGAAAATATAAATACACATTTCAGATGTACATACTCATTTTCACACGTTTGATAATAATGCTAGAGCACGGAGGAATAAAAAAAAAGGCGAAAGAGAGAAGAAAAAGGCGGCCGCAACAACAGCGACTGCACAAGAATTCCATTGTACTTTATATCAATTGTTATAAAAACAAACATGAAACGTAAACAAAATACGTTCATTTAAAATTGTGATTCGGTGATCTTTTCGCCGTAATTAATTACAATTGAATTTTTGCCTGATGCTACTGTGTTGTTAGATATTACGCGGTAATATGAAGGACAAACATGATGTAAAGAAAAATTATAATCGAAAGCAATAAAATGGGTGAAGCGCGATGAGGCGAATATATTCGAACGGCATCAAAACCTGTGAACTAGTATACTGCGTAACAGTAACAGCAAGCCGATTCGATAATGTATGTTTTTTTCTGCATGCCAAAGAAATGTTCTTCTTTGTTTTTCTCTTTCTCATTTCATGGCATGAAAACGGCGGACGAAAAAAAAACACATACACAAATTTTATGTATGGTACATTTCTTTATTTTATGGGTTTCAAGCTCTAATTGCGCGCGCCAACACCATTATTCACCCAATGCTTTTTTTTCAACCACAACTTTTTTCCACCGTCTTCGTTCGTTCTTTTCTTCATCGAAGAAAAATATATTGTATTGTGTATACATCGAGTACTTGTTTTTTTTTCGTCTCCCTCTCTCTCTCTTTTTCTCTCACACAAATATTTCTGAGCGTGTGATTGAGAAGAGTATGTTCTTCAATGAGCCTCATTGTGGCTGCATATTCACGCTCTGGAATCGCGTACCGAATTGACCAAAAACAAAACAACATCATCCAACAACCGCTGCATCCATTTGCCACATAGACGAATGCAAAACAAACAAACGAACGAAGTAAAAAAAAAATGCATTGAAAACAATAACACATTTTGCTTAAATTGTAGCTCTGTAAAACTAATGAATAAAACAACAAACGTTTGTTTCCATTCAATTCGAACAGAAGGAGGCACAGAAGGCGAATGCGAAAAAAAAAAATTGT